TTTCGATAAAGAACATCATTTAATATTTTAAATATTTTAAATGTTAACTATTGTAATATTTAATAAGAATTTATTGTGATTAGACGGACAAGATTTAATATATACTTAATATATAAATAGATCATATTGAAGAAAAAATATCTTGTGCCGAATGTTAGAAAGCATTTCCCGAGTCTAGCATTCATCATGGCCGTCATTTTGAGTTTTCCCGTCTCCATGGCAACACACGTAGTACCACCTGATGCCGCCATCGCGATATGAAACAGTGTAACACAGCGATATTCAATTCTTTCGATAATTCGACAACCTACAGTCGATATCCACTCTTGGGTCAGGAACGAGCCACTTTGTTATATTTCTGTTGTGATTCTATAATAGTACTCGACTTCATGTGGTGTTGCTGGAGAGATCCTTCCTGTACACACCTCTGTGATGCCTGCCTCGGTCCTTAAAATGTCCACGACAAAGTTATACGAAAATCAGGCCCAAGGTCTTATATGACTTAACCAAGAGCGTATATTAACTGTAGTGGCGACCAGCCTTGAAGAAGATCACTCGATTACTGAGTTGCGTACAAGGTTAATGATTGCGTTATGGCATTACGCACTCCACCTTCCAGATTGTGCGTGTTGCATTATCTGTTCTTTTCCGATCTCAATATCTGAAGCAGCCCTTTGTATTCGGAAGGTACTGGATTCGAATTTCAGCTGACACTCCATTACATTAAATTAATACTCAGTTCTTGTAGACGAATACTGGTAAAGTAAGTTACCTGCATTAATATACGTCGTGACCACTTCCTTCCGGATACTTTCCGGTACTCGGTGTTTCGTAATATTGGTCTTCTCCCCCCCACCCCACCACCGTCCTACTTAAGTACTTGAGATGATAATGTTGCGTCATATTGTGATGATTATAATTGTTTAATATTAACCGTCTAATCACAATAAAATATTTTATTAAATATTAAAATATTATTACTACAATTAACATTTAATATTTAAAATATTTAAAATATATTAAAATATTTAAATATTGTTAAGAACAAAGCCAATGAAATTTAGCTGTGATTATTTTAATTAGTTATCAAGCGTTATTGAAATAAAATATTTTATTCATATATGTATTATTTACGAATGTATAGTAAAACTTCTTGTTAGTTATGTATTTATTTTGTAATAGATGATGCTCTAATTGTAAATCGAACATTTCGATAGAAAGAGCATCATTTTAATATATTTTAAATATTTTAAATATTAAATGTTAATTGTAGTAATAATATTTTAATATTTAATAAAATATTTTATTGTGATAAGACGGTTAATATTAAACAATTAAGTACTTGAATTAACTGCCTGCTCTCGTAACAGCAGATTTCTCTGTAACGAAGATTTCTGTCTTCTGGGTTGTCGCTACGTGTAGTCTGGTAGACGTTTACCGACGTTTCAGAGGTCCATGCTGCCTCCATTATCAGGGCGATGAGTGACTGGGTGCTACAACCCAGAAGACAGTCATTTTCATTCTCGCCGCCTTGAGAACCTCAAATCCTGCTTATTTTTTGAAATTGTCTGGATTCTTTCTCCCGTACATTATCTTAGACAGCGGGAGTTTTTATAGACACTCTTTGACGACTTTTGAAACTTAGCATGAACGAACAGAGGAATGGCATTTCATAAAATGTATCAAATCTCTCGAGAGAAATAGTTTACTCAAGTCATTTTCTTAGCAGAATTGTTACTACGTTTAGGAGTCTGTCAACTCTTTTCATTTTGAAGCTACAAAGGCTTGCTTAATGAAAGGTGTTGTTATTGTTTCACCGTGTTGCCTTCATACAGGAACGAAAACTTCGTTTATTGCTGTTTAGCTAAGTGTTTTTCCGTCTACGCAGGGGTATCCAAATTATTCTGACATGGAATTATCATTACGCCCAAGTTGTGGTTCACAGTACTATTCCTCAATACATTTTGCATTGTGGTATTTATTTTATTATTTATTTAGTGTTCTGTCTGACGACAGGTCCATATGAACAGGATCCTTCCATCCTTTTCTCGGACTGGGACCTGTTCATATACGTTGTTGGCAGATGATCCAGAAGTGGTTTGCCATTGCCTTCTTCTGTGTGTGAATGGGATGCCACGGAGAAACCGGGGAAGCCCCCGGAGGAAAACTCCGTGTTGCCTAGACCACGGCCTTGCCCAACACAAGTTATAAGTCTGAGCACCGCCGTGAATCGAACCCGAGACCCCAGGATTACAAGGCCTGCGTTCTAACCGCTAGACCACCTGTGTGCGCTTGCATACACAAAGCACGGTTATATTATATTTAATATTTCGTTATAACCTGCCGTTCAGATCATAGAAACATTTGACAAATTAACAGAATTGTACACGGAATAAATATTAAATTAAAAATGGCCGCTCTGGTCTCCTTAAAAAAATATGTAAAAAGTTGAAGGAACAAGTTGATAAAGAAACAGCAGCTCGGGTAGATGAGAGGACGTGACAAAGCCAAATAATAGATCTCTGTTAATATAAACTGTTAAGCCCGTAAACATTAACGGGAAAATGTAAAATACGTATAATATCCCGTAAGGTCGAAAATCCCGTAACAGCAAATGACAGCCAGCCAACATTGCTAGTATGTGTTACCGAAATTAACCCGAAATCCGTCTAAACTAGTTTGTCCTGGGTAAAACTAAAGATTTCTTTAGTTAGTTTAAATTTCGTTGGGTATTCTAATTTTGCCTAGGACAAATTACTTGAGACGGATTTCTGGTGTTGCCGGTAACAGATAGACGATTAGAAATACACGTAAATTCAAAATGTCGTCTCGTACATGTTGATATGCTTTGATATGGAGGTTACAATTTCCCATTGGCTCGCATTTGTTTCTGGTTTACATTCGTTCTGCAAAATTAATAGAGTAAAACGTTTTAAAATATTTATTTTAATAACTTACTTAGGAAGTACAGAACGCGTAGTCATAAACAGTTCTTAGAATGGACCAAGTGGCCTATGATGTCCGCGTTAATATCTCTTTTGTAATTCCATCTTTTACTTCTCTTCCAACTTGTTGTTTTCCTCAAGAGAAAATTTCGTTTGGACACAGATGTCGGTCTCATTTCGTATCCTTTATCTGACGACCCTAAAAACACTAAAGTTGCAAATTTCGAAGTTCCTGGTGGTGTAAGTTTCTCGGTTTCCTGCCAGTCGAGGTCCAAGGCAGTTTTGTTGTCCCCTCGACGTAGAAGACAAATTTTCATGCCTGCGCAGAATACGGGGAGGGCTTAATTTCGTATATTTTAAACTTTTTTTTCTCATAAAAGAACAGCTGGAAGTTTAAATATTCATTTTAACTTGCATTCCTTAGTTTATTCTTTCATCATTTCCTTTTTCCTCGTGCTTCCTCACACACGCGAGAAATCAAAGAGAAAAATTGGATCAGAAAATGTTCCTCTGTGACGTCATAACTCTCTTTCTAAACCAGTAGACCGCACATTCGTCTGTAAACGTTCGAGAGTGGTGGGTTAATGGTCTGTTTAACGCCGATGTATCAGTTACAGAGGTTATTTGGCGTTGATGAAAGTATGATAATTCTCTGCGAACTAAATAGATGAAGAATTTGGAAGGAAGTGGTCGTGGTTTATTTCAAGTTAATCTCCTGACTTTCCGTCTTACGAAATCCCACTATTGGACCCTGTCCTCCACAATAACGTTATCAAAGCATGTCACATTCACAGTCTTTTTCCTCTAAGATTTGTTGTTACCGTCATCCGTCTACTACCAGGTCTACCGGCTTCTCTATTTCCTTAAAGTTTTTAAAGAAAATATTTAGAGTGATACTGGAATACAAAATAAAGTAGAATAAATCATTTCACGGGAGGACGTGGGCCGTGGCTTTGGGTTTGTTCGCGTGAAAGAAACGCAAGTTATTACGTATGGCTCAGTTTTCGGCGTCACGCGGTCTGGGGGTTGTGGGGACACACAGACGTCTGTTTTTGTGTGACAACACACAGCTTTATCGTTGCCATATGTCTCGTCGGGGAATTTTGTGTCACACCGTGTTAACAATAACACTGCTCGCCATTCACGCTGATGATTTCCCCACGCTCAAGAGCTGGACCACCAGGGCGAGGCAGAAACCTCAGGGACCAAGGGTGGTTCGGCTTTGTGCAGACCAAAGGAGGAATATTACCGCCCGCGCCATCTTGTTTTTGTTTAGTACCTGTTGTTTTTGTTTGCATGAAAAATATGGTCTGTCACGTGAAAGGAAGATCACGGGCTGAGACTGTTTTTGGGGACATTGAGTTTAGGAGAATATTTGGGCCCAACAGGGATGAAGCAATAGGAGTGTGGGAAATATTACAAAATAAGGAACAGCATAGTTTAACAGATAATTTTAGGATTGTCAGTCAGATCAGGGAGGATGAGATGGGAAGGGTGCGTAGCGCGCATGGAGATGATGAAAAATACGTACAAAATGGTAGTTTCAAACCTTGAAACGTAGATGTCACTCGGAAGACACGCATAAACAGGAGGATATTATTAAAATGGCTTCCCGACTTAACTACTTTTTTGTCTCTGAAATCTCACCATAAAATTTTCGTTTTACAGATTTCGTGTCTTTTTATAAATATTGTAATTTTTTTTAAATTAGCGAACATAGAATAAAATTGTGTTGTATAGTGTGGCTGTAAGTGGTAAATCATTCTTATGCTTAAATTCCAGTGCTATCTAGTGGGCCCAACTGTGTAGGAACCTGAAGACGGAGATAGAGTCCCATCTCCGAAACGTCGTTTTACGTTTTATATTTACTAGACGATGGATAATATCCAAGAAAATTCTTATTCAATTGACTCTTCACCATCGTCAAGAAGTTTTAGATTTGATATCCAGTGGTAATTTTTCACATTTTTTACGTGAAATGATCATTCAAGCAAAATGCATTGATAAACATGTTGTCACCCAAAAAATATAGCAAAACAAACCCGTTTTAAAATATCGTTTTCACAAAGCTTTATTACCGACAAAATGGCTGTAAACAAAAACATGTAAATTACTGTAAGCTTCAGTTTTCCCTGCTTTACAAAATGCAAAACAATCTTACGACAAAATTATTTCCATTTATGAATATTGCGGTCGAGTTCTTGTTGCTACGGCCAGTACGACACTGCTTGCTGACAAACAACCATTTGCCCTCGCTCCAAGTCCACGCTTGATGCCGTTGTAAGAGCAAAGCGCTCGTTAAGACAACTTAGATGCCGCGGTTGTAGAACGTATTTTACCCTAAAACAAGTTCTTTAGTCGCCGCCCTTGAAAGAAGTGTCCAAGATCCTGGCTGTCATTTTGGGTTGCAGCGCCGTGTAGTCTCATAGAAGTTTGCCGACGTTTCGGGTGTCCTTACTGCCTCCATCATCAGGGCGATAAACGCCCAGAAGACGGCCATCTTGCCGTGAAGACGTCAGATCCTACAAAGAGTCCAAGAAACTGCGTTACAGATTTGTTTTCATTTTTCTATTAAAAAATCGATCAGTCCAAAGAGATATCTTTTGTGATAGCGTGGCGGTGGGAGATTTAATTTTGACTATTCTGTATATTTCCAAATTCTATTTTGAATATTTACATCGTCGCACGCCCTTAATACGCCACTCTTCTCTGCATACATAAAATTATCAAATAACCAATCTGTTTTAGACTTCCGTGAAATAACTGTTATTTACATGCTTGAAAACGTACACTGGACCCCTGTAACATGACAACTGTATAGGATGATGGAGCTTCCCTGTTTACAGTTCCACTTCTCAGTACGTGACTGTTTGTGTGTGTAAACCGAGTTGCCTCCGTAAACATATCAATGTTTCTTGAGACACCTTTCATCATTTTGACGTCTCTGATGCTAGCAGCATATCATTTCCACGCTATCACTCATCACTGTCTTTGCGGCTCGAAGCCCTGTAGGTAAGCCAAAATACATCATTTTCAAATTGCTGACGTTTCAAAGCAAGAAAAATAATGTTATTGAAATATGGAAGTCCGAAGGCCGCGTAGATTCAATGGCCATTCTCTCTACCCTAAGACTAAAAGAAGGATGTTTTAAGTCGTACATATATGATCTGCAAAGGTTATGATGAAATTTGATAAGCTATCTAGTGGGCCCAACTGTGTAGGAACCTGAAGACGGAGATAGAGTCCCATCTCCGAAACGTCGTTTTACGTTTTATATTTACTAGACGATGGATAATATCCAAGAAAATTCTTATTCAATTGACTCTTCACCATCGTCAAGAAGTTTTAGATTTGATATCCAGTGGTAATTTTTCACATTTTTTACGTGAAATGATCATTCAAGCAAAATGCATTGATAAACATGTTGTCACCCAAAAAATATAGCAAAACAAACCCGTTTTAAAATATCGTTTTCACAAAGCTTTATTACCGACAAAATGGCTGTAAACAAAAACATGTAAATTACTGTAAGCTTCAGTTTTCCCTGCTTTACAAAATGCAAAACAATCTTACGACAAAATTATTTCCATTTATGAATATTGCGGTCGAGTTCTTGTTGCTACGGCCAGTACGACACTGCTTGCTGACAAACAACCATTTGCCCTCGCTCCAAGTCCACGCTTGATGCCGTTGTAAGAGCAAAGCGCTCGTTAAGACAACTTAGATGCCGCGGTTGTAGAACGTATTTTACCCTAAAACAAGTTCTTTAGTCGCCGCCCTTGAAAGAAGTGTCCAAGATCCTGGCTGTCATTTTGGGTTGCAGCGCCGTGTAGTCTCATAGAAGTTTGCCGACGTTTCGGGTGTCCTTACTGCCTCCATCATCAGGGCGATAAACGCCCAGAAGACGGCCATCTTGCCGTGAAGACGTCAGATCCTACAAAGAGTCCAAGAAACTGCGTTACAGATTTGTTTTCATTTTTCTATTAAAAAATCGATCAGTCCAAAGAGATATCTTTTGTGATAGCGTGGCGGTGGGAGATTTAATTTTGACTATTCTGTATATTTCCAAATTCTATTTTGAATATTTACATCGTCGCACGCCCTTAATACGCCACTCTTCTCTGCATACATAAAATTATCAAATAACCAATCTGTTTTAGACTTCCGTGAAATAACTGTTATTTACATGCTTGAAAACGTACACTGGACCCCTGTAACATGACAACTGTATAGGATGATGGAGCTTCCCTGTTTACAGTTCCACTTCTCAGTACGTGACTGTTTGTGTGTGTAAACCGAGTTGCCTCCGTAAACATATCAATGTTTCTTGAGACACCTTTCATCATTTTGACGTCTCTGATGCTAGCAGCATATCATTTCCACGCTATCACTCATCACTGTCTTTGCGGCTCGAAGCCCTGTAGGTAAGCCAAAATACATCATTTTCAAATTGCTGACGTTTCAAAGCAAGAAAAATAATGTTATTGAAATATGGAAGTCCGAAGGCCGCGTAGATTCAATGGCCATTCTCTCTACCCTAAGACTAAAAGAAGGATGTTTTAAGTCGTACATATATGATCTGCAAAGGTTATGATGAAATTTGATAAGCTTCTAACAAAATTCTTCACAGTTACTCTATTATTTTTCTCTCTGCGAAGTTAGACAAGTCTAGAAACAGTGTTCGGTCTTTGGAAATTCTTTGATTTATCTTTCATTTCACAGGACCACACGCGTGATATGCTGTCTCATTCACAAGAATAAGAACGCGGTACAAACGAGTCTTTACGGACCGAGTCGTGGTTATTATTATTATTTAGTGTTCTGTCTGACGACAGGTCCATATGAACAGGATCCTTCCATCCTTTTCTCGGACTGGGACCTGTTCATATACGTTCTTGGCAGATGATCCAGAAGTGGTTAGCCATTGCCTTCTTCTGTGTGTGAATGGAGTAATTGTTGGGATGCCACGGAGGAAAACTCCGTGTTGCCTAGACCACGGCCTTGCCCAACACAAGTTATAAATTCGGGCACCGCCGGTAATCGAACCCGAGACCCCAGGATTACAAGGCCAGCATAATTTGTAAAAAAAAAAGTGTAAGAATCACCTTGTGACTGAACTCACGTCATGAAGTAGTGTAGGGATATGTCTGTCCGCGTTGGGAATCCAAATTCGGCCGCCTAACCACCCTGTCCAGGCTTATAATTACATGTGGTACAGTGTTTTGTGTTTAGTGGCTGTGGACCAGGGAGAATTGATGAAAAGTGTCGCAGGAGCTGAGTTTGCGTTGCGCTGATGTGTGGCATGTTAACACCCTCCATTTGCGAGACAGCTTGCCGCCATGAGACCGGAAATATAAACCCAGGATACAAGAAGGAGGGAGACCCAACACTTGTGGCCCGCTTTCGGCAAGGCAAGGCTCTCTGTCTGTGAGGGTTCTCGAATTCACTGAACTTGCCACGAAGTTCAAGGTCACAGAGAGGCCAAAGCGAAATTTGTCTCAAATGAAATCATTAAATTGGAAACACGTATGTTCTTTATTCCACGAAAAAGATGAATTTGTTCTTTTTTTGCCTTGAATGTTACTGTGGAAGGGCGAAAGTTGTATGAAACAGTAAAATTGGTGTAGAACCTTCCAAGAGAAAAGAAAATATTTCGAGTTCCGTTCGGTTCCAGATTAAATTAATAAACACCTTTACATCATGCAGACTAAAATATTTATACTCTGATATAGTTTTTCTTAAAACTTTAAATTAAATGTTTATTTAATAAGAAACATTTAAATTACGTGGATGCGGGAGAAAAGGAGATATTATTATTATAATATCAGCCTTCTAAAGCCAATTGATAACATGTACCGTCTACTTTAATAATCAGAAACGCTGGATTTTGTATTTGTTTCGTGTGATTCTCACTGTAAACAGCGTTAACCAGTCGATCTTTGTAATGGTGAAGCGATGTGTTTTCTTCGCGGTACGGACTGAATTCTTAAATATAATTTGGACGAGCTTTGGGCTTCAAAGGGTAAAGAGTTAATCGATTGACGATCCCACCTCCCCGGCATTACTTTTGCCACGGGTGTGCAATAATACTGTTCATCTCTCAAGGCTTTGCTAATATAGAGTATGGGACAGGACTCTTGTACGCTTGTACACCACACAGCTCTCCTCCTTCTGTCCACCCTGGGAGCCAGATGTGTGTAGAAAATTCACGCAATGATGAAGTGTGTAATAGGAGACTCTGACAGAATTAATTGTTTTACTGACCAAGGCTAAAGCCAGAGTAGTATGCTTTTGGATAGGCCTCGGCCACTTTTTTACTTCACTGAACGTTTTGTGGGCTGAAGTGGCTACGTACAGAGGAGGCTGATCAAAGTTCGATTCCCAGAAGGGGCAAGGGTTTTTCATTTTCTCCGTCCAGCTTCCTATCCTGTATGTTAGGTGGGCCTATTCCCTACGGTTAAAGCGGTCGGAGCTTCAGTCTATCCATTCATTTACGTCTATAGTGGAATTTAACTTGCGTCGAAGTGCTTCGAGTGTGACCTTACGGGTTGTGACGCCGTGTGCAACTGTTGGTGGGTACCAACGTTTCGAGAAATGAATCGCTTCCATCTTCAGTGTTGCTTGATATGGTTTTGTAAAATACTCTACTTCATGATTGTTTTCTAAACCATTTTTAAATCAATTTTAAACCGTTTTGATTAAATTAATTAATTTCCCTGTTGCCACTTATGATGACCTCTTCAGGTTGAAACGCGTTTGGCACTAGTGTATTTTTATAGTGTTAATAGTTTGCTTATTATATGTTGTGACGCCGTGTGCAACTGTTGGTGGGTACCAACGTTTCGAGAAATGAATCGCTTCCATCTTCAGTGTTGCTTGATATGGTTTTGTAAAATACTCTACTTCATGATTGTTTTCTAAACCATTTTTAAATCAATTTTAAACCGTTTTGATTAAATTAATTAATTTCCCTGTTGCCACTTATGATGACCTCTTCAGGTTGAAACGCGTTTCGCACTAGTGTATTTTTATAGTGTTAATAGTTTGCTTATTATATGTTCTTGAAGATGGAGTTTATACATTCATCCGAAACGTTGATATCCATTGATAAGATTACATGGCACCGTCGATTAGCCTCGTACTTAAAATAGGAAGGAAATATTTTCACTTTACCTTGAAGTGTTAACCTCATGAGGTCGAAGCTCGTCTAAATATTACGTAATAGTTCAGTCCGTACCGCGAAGAAAACACAACACTTCACCATTACGAAGATCAGCTGGTTAACGCTGTTTAAGAAAATAATCGCTGTTTATAATTAGAATCATACAAACCCACAAACACAATTTGTGGGCAAAATGAAGATTTGTTAATGTTAAAGTAGATGGTACATGATGATGGTTGCAGCAAGGTCCTCTGAAACTTCGGAAAACTTTGCCCTTCCTGTACACTACGTGAGCAGGATCCACCGTATGAAATTAGTTCTTCGGTTATTGTCCGCGGGGGGTGGAAGGGGGTGCTTCTCGTGCCGTGGTAATGACGGACGTGGTGTCACCCCATCGCATCACAGGGGGCGCTGTAGGAGGGCAGAGTTTTTCTCTCTGGTCGGAACAGGTGTTTGATTACCCGCCTCGCTTTGCGTTTGAGTACCATCGGGAACAAAGCACCATCGCTGTAACACCCGTACCCGTAGCTCAGCTGTACACGACCTATTTCGTTCTTGTATTGCTAAGACACAGGGCAGAGACCGAATTTCGGTTGTCCTGGCCGATTCTTATCGTGATTTTTCCCATTCTCTCCAGACACATCCTGGCCAGTGCCTTGAGACGGGACACATCCACTTCGTTCCAAATCATTCCTGAATTTATCAGTCATCATTCAACAATTCGGTGATAAATTAAGCATAATCATTTTTACTAAAGCAACTTGGGTTCTTTTGACGTACGGTCATGGAACTTCATACATTCTTTCGTTAGTTATTTCAAATCGTCCGCTAATTTATGGAAAATAAAATATTTTAATAAGATTTCTGGTGTTTCGAGGGCATGTATATAAGACTCCGTCCTTCAATATTTACAGTCAAACTATTTAAATTCGTTCACATATTTATAAGCTTCATGGAGGCAAAGCTCGAGTTAATCTCGGGGGTAC